TTAAAAGCACAGAAAAAAATTGCTAGTAATAAGCACATTCACCTTTAGTAATAAAGATTTTAAGAATGACAAGCATAACTATAAATCTTTACATTGCTCAGGACAATATGAGAGAGGGAAGAAGTTCACTCTAGCTTTCTCTCTCTCCTTATGTAGCAAAGATCTATTTATGTTTGTATTACTTTATTAACTAGCATAAAGTTATTACCAACCACATATTAAATATTTATGAAACTAGCAAGGTGTTGATGGTTTATACTTCCAATCCTAGCAACTCAAACATTTATCCTTGGTACTCAGGAGGTATAAACCTGGAGGATTGTGGTTCAAAGCCAATCTAGGCAGGAAAAGTCCGTTAGACTCCCTCTCCAATTAACCAGAAAAATGCTAGACTGGAGCAACGACTCAAGTGGTAGAGCATCATCAGTGAACAAGAAAGCTGAACCAAAAAGCTAAGCAAGAGCGAGATGCCCTGAATTCAAGCCGCAATACCAACATAATGTGTGAATCTGAATTGATCCCCAACATTTATTCAATGACTAAATTCTAGATTTTTTTACTTCTGCCAGGACTCCACTATGACTCTTCTATCAGTCATCCGTATATCCCTTCAGTCCTAGTTTAAAAATCTCATTAGTATTTCCAATAACATAGCTGTCTCTTAATTGATACTCCCTACCTTCCATATGTCCCCTGTTCCAGTGCAGCTATTCTTCAAAGCACAAATGTTTTCATGTCCTCAATAACCTTCAGAGGCTTCCATTTACAAAATAAAATTAAACCTTTAAACTGTATAATCTGGGCCTAACCTACATTTAATAGATTCCTTAACTCATCTCACATCATATCCCATTCGTATATCAGACTTATAATCTAGCAATAGAATATAAGATCCCTTGCTCATGTAATTGTAACCCCTCTGTACGGTATTTTTAAAAACTTAAAAAAAATAAAAAAGAACATAATATCCCTCCTTCCTGCTAGAGAAACTTTCTCTTATATTGTCCCCATATACCCAAAACATGTTCCTTTCATCTCTGAAAAAATTACCACTCTATAATATCCTGATCAAATTCTATCTCATTTACAAGGCCTTATCAGCCCCACCTGTAATCTACCACTACTAGTATCCTCCCATGCCATTGCTGACTGCCCTTCACAACAACCCTTTTCTGTAATTCCTGTCTTGCCTGCCTGAATTTAAAGCTGGGGACATAAGGGGAAATTCTATGGTATAATATTAGGCAATTCATATTACTGCACAATGTTCTACACTACCTGTAGTTAATAAACCCTTGATAAATTAAATCAATTCCTACTATAGCAAGAGTTCTAGATAGAAAAAAATCTAACAAAATTAAATGTCAATGAAACAGCTCATTAAAGAGTTATAATAATAAAATTACTTGTTTCTTCTTATCCCTCAAAGTGTTCCTAAACACATTCACATTTTGATCCCTGAACCACTCTATCTGTAATTATAAGCATGCAGAGTGAGAGCTTCAACATATTTAGATGAAATGATCATATTTAGGAAAACCAGAGGAAGGCTGAGGCTATGGCTGTGTCTACCTAAATCCCAAGAATTTTCATTTTAAGTGACAATAATTCTGAGTTTAGTGGGAAAAGAGAAGGAACTGCTATATACTGGACATGTAATACATGCAAGGTATTTCATAAATTAAAACCAGTAAAGCATTTCATTTAGACAAATAATTTTGAAAATAGTTTTCTTCCTTTTACAGATAAAAAAAAAAACCAATGCTGAGGGATCTTAGACAACATGCACTAGGGCACACAGCTACTATAATGTAGAAGTCGGGCTTGACATAGATATATCTGGCTTCAAAGTTAATGTTCTTTTCTCTATTACTACAAGTTCTAATAAAAATTAATTGAAACTTGAAATTTCTTCCAATAGTTGCTATCCTGGCTATATTTCTCATGTTTGAAGCTTTAATCTCAAACTACTTTTATCAATATGTATCAAGTATTATTCTCAAAATTGATTTCCTTAAACAAAACAGTATTACTAATACAAAAGTACCAGAGCTTAAATAAATTATATGACATGAAATATAAAGCTACACTTAATAAAGAAGAAGTACTCCCGAACCAGAAAATAATATCTGAATCCACAAACTGTAATGTTCATGGAGCTAATTCATGAAAAGATCATGTTACTCAGACATGCTGTTCTTTATGACCTTTGCCCAGGAATGACCAATATCCCATCCTATCTCATGTAACACCTCTTCCCTGATCCTGACAGAATCCAGGCAAGAGCTAAAATTGTGGCTGCCTGAGGAGTGATGCCCTTTGAAGTTCCCATTCCAAGCAGACATAATTGAGACACTCCCTGCAAGAGCTCTTACAACTAGTGCTTTTGCTTATCCCTATTTCCCAGCTTCCAAGAATTCTTTTCACAAGAGCCAACAGAGGACATGTTTCCCTTTTTGGGGTCCTTTCTCCACCTTTCAACTGAATCAAATTAGTTCTTGATTAAAACCTTGACATTTTACATCAGAAAAATTGTCAGTGGTTTGGCTCTTTACTAGTATATTTTAGTACTAAGCACTGGTCTAAAAGTGTAGGATCCCATCTATGGCCATACCACCCTGAACGCGCCCGATCTCGTCTAAAAGTGTAGGATCCCATGATAAGTTTTTGTTGTGGGAAAATATATTAAGCATCCTAAATAACCAATTTGTATACTTGTGAATTATATTTCAAAGGCTATCAAAGACCATGACAAGCAAGACAGGTAAACAATACTGAAAAGACTCCAAAATATATGATAGTATCTATAATCTTTAATTTTACCACGACTCAACACATAAAAGAAATTATTTTGACATTGAAATTCATCGCCCCTTATCTAAATTTTCTTTAAAGTTTCATACACACACACACACACACACACACACGTATATAAAATCTATTATGCAACTAAAGCACCTTAGTCTTAGAAACTGTCCCAATTGAAGGTTGTAAAGTTCATACCTCAAAGTCAGCATTTCTAAAGCCAACAACAAACATATAATTAAAATAATTATAAATTCCAGAAAATAAGAGTTTCCTTCTTATCAATGGAGTCTCATTAAAAACAAAACCTCTTCTAAGAACTGTGTTGGAAACGTAGCATAAAATGTTTACATGGAATATTTTAATTTTGTCACTTGTAGGGTTAAATCTCACCAACCATAACTGTTTTAGATAAAGAAAACAGAAATACTATCTTCACCACATTACCTTCACCTTTCGTTTTACTTCATAGGGATTAACAATTTCCACTGGAGTATTTTTCCAAATTGCTGAGGTCGAGAGACCCATTGTTAAATCTCTACATTACCTAAAACATACTGTAAACAATAAAAAACCATATGTAGTAATTACAATTTAAAACATACTACATTCAAAGTTACAAAATATTAAAATAGTAGGCATGCAAAAAGATCCCCACCCCATCCCATCCTTCTATTAAAAGTATTTATCTATTTTTATCTTAAATTCTTGAGACTAAATCAATAGATTACACATATGAAACAAACTTCATTCCCCTCTCAATAGTTGCTAGAAAATGTTTGCAAGCAATTACATTCTTACCATTTCAAGAAGAAAATAATTATTTTGACTTATTTTGTTTGAAACAGACAAAAATATGAAAATGTATTTTGGAATTGCTTAGTTCATAAATAAAAGTAATTTCTATGATGCTAAAGGGTTTAAATTCAAGGTACTTCTGAACTTATTTCCACTGCATTTCTTGTTCCATTTAATTCTACCTTGTTAATCTAACCTCGGTTCAGATTTTAAAAATTAAAGAAAAACAATAAGATAAACATAGCAGTCCAGTGTATTTTTAAAGATGGAGTATATACTTGAAAGTTGCAACACTGAGCTGCGTAGGAATGCGAGTCTTATCCCAAAATATCTTAATGTGAATCAATTTGGCATTCATCAACTATTTTAGGCTGTATATGGTGGCCTCTACTGGAGGAGTACACCGTTGATTAAGTGACTAGAAAAACATTCAACTTTCTATCACAATCGATCACAGGTTTTTTTTTTTGTGCTCAAATACTCACTGCCTGCTTTTCGTAACAATGAAGTACCTGTGTACATCTAAGTTCTTTTCTCACCGCACAGCTGATCAGAGCCAGCCAGTCGAGTATCAGAAGAGCGGGAAGGGAGAAGGATCGAAATACTTGGTGGAACCCCGCTCAGCCTTTCTAGAGATTCCTGTTTTAAAGGCTGGGGTTTACTTCTCCAGTTTTCCTACAGCCCCAATGGGGGCGGGGACAGCGATTGGGGAAAGGTGAAAGGCGGAGAGAAAGGGCAGGAACTTAAAAGAAACCAGAGGGGCGGCAGCTGAATATCATCACCTGAATGTAGACAAACCTGACTGCCAGTTCCTCTGGACTTGGGGTGTTAACCGAAAGAACGTAACAAGTCACCAAGAAACGCCAAAGCTGTCACCAAGAAACGCTCATCCCAGTGCGTAAACGTCCCCCGAGTTAGTTTGTCACCTTGGTGTGTTTTGTTGCGCGGGGTGGTGGTTCATAAAGCGCCCAGGGTTCAACAGCGAGCTTTAGTCCACAGCTGTACCCCAAGTGTTCTCTGCCAGCAAAGCCGAACGCCGTGCGGAAAGAGGGACGCATCACAACCAACTCGGCACCCCGTGCGTTTCCCCCAGTTCCTCCACGGGTTGCAAAGTGAGGAAACTTATTCCCAACTCCTCCAGCATGGCCCGCAAGCTAGGCGCTCCTGCGGCCGAGCCCCAGCGCGGTCTGCACTCCTTCCGCCCTCTGCCTCACCACCGCCCGTTCCCCCGCGAAAGCACACTTGGGGCTGAGCGTGCTCCATCGCCTGGCACCCTCGCGGCGGGGGGGGAGGGTTCACCCCAGTACCCCGCTCCCCAGTCCCACACCCTCCTCTGTCTCCCGGGGTCAGGTAAGAAGAGGGGACGGGCTCCAGCCGGTCGTGACCAACACACTAACCTCGCCACTGCTCGCACAGCCGAACACCTCCATTTCTTGATCCCCGGGCTCCTCCGTTGGAGCAAACGGTAGCATCGCCCCTTCAGGAGCACTGGAACAGGAGCTGCCAGCCGACAGCACAGCCGCGCATCCTGTCTGTGGAACTCGACTGCCGCCGCTGCTGCCGCCGCCGCCGCCGCCGCCGCGACCCCCAGCCCAGCCGTCAGTGCCTTCCACTGCCCTCACGGCCGGCTCCCTTCGACGCTCGGAGCTAGGGGTCTCTGCCACCCGCTGCTGATCCCATAGAGAAGACAACTCTGTGCTTCTTTTCCCAGAGCAACTGCGCGCAGCTCTTTGCTAGCCCCCGCCGCAGCTACGGCCACTCAGCGGTGACTTCCCCCTCCCACCTCCCCACCGCCCTGCCAGTGCCCCGCTTCCCCGCGCCCCCTCCCCGTTCCCCGCGCCCCCTCCCCGTTCCCCGCTCCCCACTCGGTCAATATGGCGGCAGCGGCGGCATTACCTGTGCGGCGCCTGCCCCCCCCCCCTAGGGCGGCAGCTCGGCGTCACCCGAACGTCAATGGAGATTCCCCAGCCTAGGGTGAAGTGAAAGGGGGGGGGCAGAGAGGGGCGGGGTGGATTCGGGGGACCGCGTGCTGGGGTTGCGAAAGGAGGGGAGGGGATGTGCTGGGCGGGGGAGGCGGGTGAAGAGTAGTATAAGCCAATGCGAGCGCCTTGGTAAACCTGCCCAGTCCACGGAGCATGCGCAGTGCTCTTAACACATGCTCAGCAGGCCTTCTTGAGACTACAGAGCGAGCAGCCTTGCTGGCAGGAGGAATCCCAAAAAGGATGCGGGAAATGCAGGACCCTTCTAAGTGCTTGAAAGGCCAGTACTAGGGGACTGCTCCATGAATAATTGCCCTCAGGGCTCACAAAAAAACTACGAAAATACAACAACACAATAACAACAAAAAACCAGGTGTCCTGTACGGTGAACCACGCCCACCTGGAGACTTAGTAACACTTTACGGAATCTACTTTACTAATCCCCTAGAATTTACAATCAAGGAGGAAAACCATTGAAATGAAATTAATATATCTGCTTTTCTCAAAGCCTTGTTTGTTACTCTCAAGTTGCTCCAGATGATGTTCTTACACTTATGACATAATAGTTCTAGTGTACCCACACACACAAATGGAAGTACATGCTACTTATTTGACTCTACTTGTGGCAATAAAGAGTGTGACATTGCTACCTTTGCCTCCATCATCCTTTCTGAGAATACTGAATCCGTATTGGCAATAATTACAATTTTCTATTATCTCCAAATCCAACTTTTTTGCTTTTCTTCTCTAAACTATGCACTGTAATAGGATTTGGCAGAATGACGGAGATAAAGTTCTGTGTCACAGAAAGGGTGGATGATCAAAATTTTTCATTGAAACACTCAAAGTAAGAAAAATTGTTCTGCGTTTGGCATATCCAAGAAACCAAACAATTTCAACAGTAGCTAAAACAGCTCAACAATTTGGAGAGGTTTTGCATTAAACTACATCTACAACAACTGAATTCTGCTCCCAGACAATATTGAACGATGCAACTATGCTCTCTCTTTATTTCACCATCTAGTTTTGAGTGTAAAATATGATAAAGCAGGCCACAGAGATTGACAGTGAATTACCAAGCAATGATCAGTAATAGTGCCCTGCCACTTATTCAGCTTAATATCCAAAGAGAAAGGGTTAGAATATAGCTATGCAAAAGGAAAAGTTTTGAAAACAATGGAACATGGGGCACAAAGACAAATAAATTTATGTTTAGCTGAACTGACACTGTTCTTAAGTAAGAGCAGTCCTTCCAAGCTGCTGATTCTAAGTTCCTACTTCCTTACCCCTATTTTCAGTTCTGGAATTCTCTCTTCCATGTCATCTGTTTTCTTTTTATTAAACCCCATCAGCAAAAGCATTTTGTTATTTACTGCAATGTGATTGGCCACTTGCTAGCATTTGATGCAGTTTATGAGACTCCTTTCTATAAATATTTTCTTCACTTGATCTCCAGAGTAAAAATGTTCATTTTCCCCCTACATCCTTAGCAATTTCTTCTCAGTCTCTTTTACTATGTCACCTATCTTCTCAGTTACTATTAGAACCTCAATATTCATTGTGGGCTTCCATATTCCTGAAGGTTTCAGGTATTTTCATACCCTATCCAGATTTGCAGTTTAAATTCCATATATATGCTGAGAATGTACACTATTACCTGCCATCACAAATCTCTACTTGAATATCTAACATGTCTTTCAAATTCAGCTTATTCAAAACAACCCTTGATTTGACCCCAATCAAACTGTTCCTCTCATGGTCTCTCACTATCCTCAGAATTTGCTACTCATATCTCATTGCAGAATGTCATTCCATGACTATCCTATCTAAAACAGCATTCAAATAAATCTCAAGCTGCAACCTGCTTTTTAATTCATGACAACAATGAAAATGTGGTATGTGTTTAATTATTCTCCTCAGAGCCTAGCATAATTTCTGCACTATAATTTCTGCAGCTCATTAATGTTCCCAATGAAACTGTCCTTTACTATTGTCGCATGCATTTGATAAATATACCACATCACCTATATTAAGATGTTTCCTCCTAATGAGTGTATATTGCTTTGCTTTAGATATAAAATTTAACCTAAGAACAGTCAAATGTTCAAATGCATGCTTAGTATGCACAAATCTCTAGATTCAATTCTCAATAAAATCTAATTCTAAGGTTTATTTGTTCAACATTATAACTATGTATATATACAGTATATAACTATGCATGTATATATACACTATATATTCATATATAGTGTATATATATATATATATATATATGTATGTATGTATATTTCCCATCTTCCTTTTGTGTGTGTGTGTGTGTGTGTGTGTGTGCCAGTACTGGGACTGGAACTCAGAGCCTCACACTTGCACTTAGCTTTTTGTGCTCAAGGCCATATCTGTACTCCAAGCTTTTACTGCTTAATTGGAGATAAGGATCACATAGACTTTTCTACCTAGCTAGCAGATTGCAATTTTCTGAGTAGCTAGGATTATAGGTGTGAGCCATCAGCAAACAGCAGATCTTTTTTTTTTTTTTTTTTAATCCATCACAGGGCTTGAACTCTGGGCCTGGGCGCTGTCCCTCAGGTCTTCAGCTAAAGACTAGTGCTATACCACTTAAGCCACAGTGCCACTTCTCATTTTCTGAGTGATTTATTGGAGATAAGAGTATCAAGGAGATTTTTGCCCAGGCTGGCTTTGAACCTCTATCCTCAGAAATCAGCTTCCTGAGTAGCTAGGATTACAGGCGTGAACCACCGAAGCCTGGCCTCTTCCTATCTTTAAGATGATCAAAAACCCTTCCCAGATTCCATGGTTTCACTAAATTCTGGTTTCTCACAGCTTTCAATGCATTAACAAGCTTTTTTTTAAACCTCAAATATTTTAAAATGTCTGCTCTAGCACCATTCTCATTACCTCAAATCAACTCTTAGAATATTTCCTGGAATTAACAGTATCTCCTCTTAACTATTTTTTCTGACTCCAAATTTTTTCTGTCTCCTTCATAATAATCCATTCTCTTCACTTTAAGCTCAGTGATCACAGTTCTTGAAATATTCTCTATCATCTCCAGGAAAATATCCAAACTACATAGCTGTGAATACAATTTTTACCATCTTGCATATATCTTTCCAGATTTTTCTTCACTACATACTATAGTGAAATCTATGTACATCTTACCTTTCCCAGGTATCATTATGTAGTTTAGTCTTACTATCAAGAAATTCTTTTTTTTGGGGGGGGGGTCCAGTCATGGGGCCTGAACTCTGGGCCTGGGCGCTGTCCCTCAGCTCTTCAGCTCAAGGCTAGCGCTCTACCACTTGAGCCACAACGCCACTTCCGACTATCAAGCAATTCTAACAATTACTATTAAGAGCCTACTATTCTCCAGGTAGAAACTTGTAATGAGTTCATTTAGCCTTCATATAGATTTGTAAAAATTTATTTTTAAATATTTTACAGAGAAGGAACAAGAGCTTAGGAAAGGCTCAGTGATTTTTTTCTGCAAGATCTCAAACCTATTCAGTGGTAAATCTATAATTAAAACCAGTTCTCATTCATGCCAAATTTTCTATTTCAGTCCATGCTTTCTAAAGCTTCTCATGTCTTACCTTTCCCTCTCTTTCCTTCTACACATCTTGTAGAGAAAATTTAGTCATTCATTACTCTATATTTCCATAACATATTTCCATGTCTGCATTTCTTCTTTAAACCTTTCCTTACCAGGCCACCTTGAGCTTTTGTCTGTAGTGACTTTATTAAGCTCTTCATTCACAGCACATGTTACTGATCAATAAATATGTTCCATGAACAAATAACACTTCTCTATCTGTGACAGAAATTGTGTTAACGCTTTCAGCCTATACAAAAATAAATAAAATTAACTCTGTGGAGCTTAGTGTTTATTTGTTCTACACTGGCTATGTCAAAAATGTGTTGTTTGATTTCAATTTACTACTAAGCAGGACCTGTCAAATATTTTTAACTACCTCAGAAGGCACTTTAAAGGCTGTTAAAAATATATGATATCTTGTTTAAACATAAAAGCAAGTGTTAGTGAAGGCTTGAGCTTCTCAGTATTCTGCAAAATACACACAGCAGAGTGTTTTTTTTTTTTTCAGGAAATTTTTAGCCTGAAATTATCTATGTGCCTATGATTCTCAGGATTTTCAATTAGTATAACACAGTATTGTAAATTGCACAATGTTTGCTAATGTTTAGTGATTTTGAAATCAGGACATACTCCATATATTTTTCTAAATAATATATAATTTGTCATACAAGATGATGATTTGGGCTCCACTACTATTAGAAAATGTGTTCTGAGTATTTCCAGGATGAGGGTAAGGGTACACTTAAACCTTCCCACAGACTGTTTTACCCTGTGACAAATGGCACACATTGGGTGACCAGGGTCAGAGGTGAAAGTGGTGGTCACATAATTTAAGGGAAAAAAATTAACTGACCCATCATGGCCCCACTAAGGGGGTGTGAAATATGAACTGATGGTCTTTGATCAGTAGATCACAGACCACCCACAGTTCAAATACTGTGGCTCTGATTTCTAACCTGTGACATACATAGAGCAATACATATTTAGGGTATAATTATAGACAGTAATATAAACTCTCAACATTCTATTTCCCCAAAGATTTTAGTCCAAATAGTTGGAAAATGTTGAGTGAACATAGAACGTAAAGGCACTATTAAAAACAAAAAGATTCTAGCATCCTA